GGGTGACAGGTGAGGGGGCTGCATAGGTGAGGACGGGGGATAATAGAAGAGGGAGCGAGAGGAACCCAGAAGCGTGCGTGCGTGCGTGCGTGTGTGTGTGTTGGGGGTGGGGTGGGGCAGCCATCATCCTCCTGCAACTTGCCCACCCCACATGCCTCCCTGCAGGATGGATTTCAGAACCCCTGACCTGCTGGATGTGTGGCTGGAGCCCCCAGACGATATCTTAACAGGATCCTTCCTGGAGCTGGGACTCCACTGTCCACCTTCCGAGGTCCCAGTGACTATGATACAAGAACAGGGGCTGCAAGGCTGGGAGTCCAGTGGAGCCCATGCCTGTGTGAGTATGATGAATGGAAGTGGGGGTGGGTTGAAATACAACTGGGATAAGAAGCCCAAGAAGCTTCAGCCTACACTTGGAAAGTGGCCTGAGACAGTACCCCTAAAATAGACATAAACTGTAACTATCTTGATGTCCAAGGACAGAAAGGACTGAAACTGAAGCATGAAGGATCTAGGTTTGATGTCAGGAAGGACTTCCAGAATTCTTCCCTGTATACATATATGCCCTCTTCCAATGTAGGGCCTTCAAGAGAGTGAACCTGAAGATTTCCCGAAGCTTTTCATTGATCCCAATGAAGTGTACTGCTCAGAAGCATCTCCTGGCAGTGACAGTGAAATCTCTGGGGACCCTGGTCATCCAGACAGTCCCCCTGTCCCCAAGGCACCCAGTTCCCCTGGCCTCTGTGAGATTGTTTATGAGACAGAGGCCCTGAAGAAGATGCAAGAGGAAGCTGGGCCAACTGTAGGGTTCATCTCCATTCAGCTAGGTCAGTAGTGTTCTGTGGGAAGGGGACAATGGCCCTTCAGATCCAGCCCTAGCCCTGGGGTTAAGGGGGTTTCATCAATCTGTTCCACTACCCAGGCCCTGCTGCAGCAGGGTGTACCTTCCATCTCATTTCTCCCAGTCACCTGTTCCCCTCAGATCAATGGAGCCCACCTTTTATGGTGCCTGATGCCTGCATGGTCAGTGAGCTGCCCCTTGATGCTCATGCCCACATCCTGCCCAGAGCAGGCACTGTAAACTCAGTGCTTCCTGCAACCCTGGTAAGTCTTGGGGTTGGCTTGATCCAGTCTTCCCTGATACACATACATATACCCACACAGATGGGGGTAAAGGAGAGGAAAACTGATGCTGAACTCTGTCTTTGCCCTAATTTTTGTAGCATTGGACCTTTGGAGACATGGGCAATTTATTAATTTATTGATTTGAGAAACATTGATTTGTTGTCCCACTTATTTATGCATTCATTGGTTGATTTTTGTATGTATGTGCCCTGACTGGGGATTGAACCCGCAATCTTGGTGTACTGGGACAAAGCTCTAACCAACTGAGCTACCCGGCCAGGGCAGACATGGGCAATTTAAAAGCAGGAAAGGACAAGGGAGAAACACTTGGGGTAAGGTGATGATGACTCAATTAAGGAGAAGGTGGGGTGAGGGAATCCAGGGATATGGCTCAGGAGAAAGCCCAAACCTGTGTTCATTGTTTGCTCAGCTATTGTCTCAGTCTTGTGTCAGGACGAAGAAATGGGACAGGCCACCTGGGAAAATCGAACTGGTTACTGGGCACAAGCTGTAAGAGATACAACTACTCCTATGTTTCTACTGGAACAATTGTCCAGCTGGCACCCACTGCTT